GGGGGGGGGGGGGGGTAGTGAGAGATTGTGGTTGCTCATCCGCTTAAAACCAAACGGAAAAAAAGAAAAAAAAGATGTCTGAAGAATCCCTACTTCGTTGCAGAGTCTGGGGGTGCAGACTCACAAATGACTCAAATGACAAATTACAATTTTTATTTATTTAATTAGTAATTACTTGATTGACTATCGACTCAAATCAACTCAGATAAACTGAAATGACTCAAATGACAAAAAGCACTTGAATGACCACTGAACATCACAAGTCTCTGCGGGGCGAGCTCACATGACCAGTGAACGTCCCGGCCACTCTCCTGTCTCCACTCTCTCACACTCCTTGATCGAGCCCTATAAACATTATTCTATCAAAAGTATCTGCTCTGCAGACTCAATAGTTGAGCTTTCAGAGCAGACACTTTTACATGAACGACTATGAAGTTATGAACATCACAAGTCTGCAGACTCATATTATATCAAACGCTTGTGTTTGCTTTTTTGAAGTTTTTTCTCAAGGTTGCAACACCTCTAGACTCAATTATATCCATCTGGAGGAAAGAAGAAGATGGGCACATTACTGATGACTTCCCGAAGAGGACGGCAAATAGCGAAACGTACACTGAAGAGATGCAGGCGGAAGAAATAACACAGGGAAGAGAAATCTAGAGATGGAGCTGATGGATGAAATTCAGAAATCGTTCAAACTTGACGAAATTTTCATCTCCTTTCCACAGAACAAACTCATAAGGATTTATTGTTTTTTTTTAACTTTTTTAAACTTTTTTCTTTCTTTCTTTCTTTCTTTTCAAGAAAAGAAAAAAACAGGCGCTTATGGTCCTGACTCCATATCCCTACTTCGAGAAGTTTTTCAGTCATTTTCTAGTCCGTGGTGACTTCGTGGTGATCCATGCTAAGTTTGCTAACCAACCTTGCTGCAGTTTCGTAGATTCGCTTCATTGGCTGCTTTTCCAAGAGCGCATATAGTTCTCCTCCCGGGCAATAGTCGGTTACCAAACACACATGTGTCCGAGTCTGCACACAAGGAGAAAGGAGCACCATAGACGTGTCATTTCAAAACGATGTTATTATTAACCAAAAGACAGTGAAAAAGAGATTTCACTGTGTGCGCCATGTGCGGGGAGTAGCACCCAGGCTCCTAAGCCCCCTACCGTCTTCACCCGACTAGAACTCCCGGTCATTATAGCTGTATTTGATGCGATTTTCGGACTCCTGCCAATACCAGATACAGCTATAATGACCGGGCGTTATATTCGGGTGACGACGGTAGCAAGGGATGGCAGGATTCCAGACTCCTGCCAAGACCAGTCAGGCCCTTGCTCCTTACCCGAAGTTTGTCTAGTTTGAACCCCTAGCATCGGATGAACTCAAAGCGTGTTACAAAGCCAAGTGAACAACCAAGCAACCAACCAAGCAACCAACCAACCAACCAACCAACCAACCAACCAACCAACCAATCAAACTAGAAAAACAAAGGAGACTCTCAGACTCTCAGGGCCAGGCCCCACTGGTGCTATGTTAAAGATGCCCGCCCACATTCATCCTTACTTAGCAGTGTTAGCACAACTATACCACCTGTGGAGCCACCCCCCACTCCATACATACATAGTATGGCCTACCCCCCCTTTTTTTTGTGGAGAAAAGCCAGCGTCGGCCTGGCCCACCCTACATCAGCTGCATTTGGTTAAACCACCCTGTCGTCCCGCGGAGCCTCTTTTTCCCAACCCCGAGTGCTGCTGCACACCCCAAAAAACAATTTTATTTATTTATTTATTTATTTTTAAAAACGGGCCCAGTGCCCAAGGCTGATATTATCCATGAGAAAGTTTGAGGCCGGGGTCCTCACAGTCTGCCCGGAGTGAACACAAGACTTTAGCTGAGAACCGGGCTCAGCGTCCCTTATCTGAAAATTGAGGAGAAAAAACCATGAGGATAATCATTAAAACTCTGCAGGCTTTTCTAAGAYAGGGAGAGAGCCTCTTSGCCTTAGCRTCGGGCGCCAGGTCGTTGCAGSTRAGCACAAGTTCCTTCCTCCGTCTTTGCAAACCTGCTGAGTAGAAACATGACAAGCTTTCTGCTGGACACCGGGGGGGAAGCCCCTGAGGTGTGTCAAAGCTCTAGGTTGGGGCCTCCCAGGGCCCAGTGGGGGGCACCAGTGGTCCCTGTCGTTCCCCAGATTCTGCACCTCTGTCATCTGCATCAAATCTGGGTTTCCACCAGGGCAAGGGGGTGGGGTGGGAAAGGGTCCGGGAACTCAGATGGGTGTCTCATCGGAAGGGAAGGGTCGATGTTAGTCCAGTCTTTAAAGACGAGTTTATAATCTCTCGCAATCCCTTGTCCGTTTATGCCTACTGTGTCCCCTGACCACTCAATCTGAGCTATCCATCCCTCCCTCTGCCCCCCCAGCCATTCTACGCAAAACCCAGTGATCCCTCTCCGTATATCCTGATCTGTCTGAAAGAGGTCAAGCTGAGGTTTGAGATTTCTCCATCTCCGTGTCAGGTCCAGCTGGATCAATTCTTTTATCTGCTCATGCAATTCGTTTCCTTCTATCCTTACTCCCTCCATGGCTAAAGTGCATCGTTGTCACCACAGGGCCCATAGGACCGACCGTCTCCCCAGGTTATATAGGTTGCTAATGTAGGGGGCGGCACCATCCATTCCTGGACAGTGCCCGGTTAATATGGCTTGCCATGACCATGGCCAGGGGACATTTGTTGCCATCCTCCAAATCTGGTCCCACCATCGCCATGTGAAGACTGCCACTGGGCATTGCATAAAAATGTGTTCGATGGTCTCGTTTCTTTTCCTCCCTGGAAATGCAGACAAGCACCGGTGGCACCATGGGAGTGCTATCCCCTTCTGTTCCAGCTGCGTATGGTCAATCAACCAGGCATTTGTCGGCAGGCACCGGTGTGCAATCTGCCACTGGAGCGAATTGATCTTCACTGGCCTAGATTTGGTTTCCTTAAACCATTTTATGGGAGTGAGGGTGGACCGGTCGACGTTCAGGTGCTGAGCCCACCTGTCGACTAAGCGTCCTTTAGTACTCTTTTGGGTCTGAGCATTTTATACATAGATTTAACAGATATTGTATTGAGGCGGATTGTTTTCTTTGCTGTTTGCCCCGATATCAAACCTGTTTGCCATTGCCATTCGTCAGGATCGATGGCGAGCTCGTGTATCGATGTTAGGGGGAGGAAAACCTTGAAGTCCCGCTCCTCCTGTAGCACCCGTACCCGAAACATTTCCTCCTTCTCACGCCATTCCAGCGGGTTTTGAGAACCTTCCAGCACTCCCCTAGGACCGATAGCATAGTATTCTACCAAGGCATCAGTAGGGCGTGTCTGGTGAATTCGGCCTGCCCGTGCCCCGTCCCCCCGGAAGGCTACCCAATCACCCTCATTTATGGTGGGGCCTTTCTTTAGGGTTCTGTACCAGGCAAGTGGAATTGCTTCAATGATGGTTTCTAGCTGCTGCTCAGTGTGGTGGCAATATCTGAGAGTGCTCCGTAGCTGCTGTCTCTTATACACATCTAGATGTGTATAAGAGACAGCATTTATGGTGGGGCCTTTCTTTAGGGTTCTGTACCAGGCAAGTGGAATTGCTTCAATGATGGTTTCTAGCTGCTGCTCAGTGTGGTGGCAATATCTGAGAGTGCTCCGTAGCTGGGCCACCATTTTCGAGTCCTTTTCCTCCCTGTCCCATAGATGGCCCACCCTGAGCACACCGTTCTTCACCCACCCTTTCCACGGGGCTTCTGTGCTGACCAGAATCTGACCATTTCTGGGTGTGATCCACCGGTTGCCAAACAGGGGTTGACGGTATGTCTCCTCCCAGCGCACCGGTGTCTGTTTCTCGAGGAGAGGGAGCCTGCGCCAGCTTTTCGGCAAAGAGGGACAGAACTGGTCGACTTTTTGACCATGAATTCTTCGTGGGATCAACCAGTAGCGATCCTCAACCCAAGTCAACGGATTAACCCCCGGTGGGGCCGGCGGGGCCAGGATGGCGATGTGGTCTAGGGCTAGGGCCTGCCACGGACTGTCGATGGCAAAGAGAAGGTTTATTAGCCATTTGAGGCGGAGGGCCTGAACTTGCGTTACCGGATCAATGATGCCAAGACCCCCCATTGCTTTGGGTTGAATGACCGAATCCCAGGCTACCCTACTGATAACATTGGCTCGCTCATCATCCCCTGTCCATAGAAAGGCTGCCACCTTTGACTTCAGCACCTTAAAGGCGGAGTTACTTAGCGGCCACAACACTGACTTATACCAGAGAGCGGCGAATACTACATTATTAATGACCAGTGCCCTACCAAAAATGGAGGTGTGCTTATTCCTCCAATTTGCCAGTTTTGCCAAAGCTGGCGCCGAAATCCAATCATCGTTCGAGGGAGGGCGGCCCTGGGCCGTCATCTGTACTCCCAAAACCCGAATGGGAGCCTGATGGGGAAGCCTGTGAATATTTGGGGACTCTGGTGGCCGACCACCTTGGTAATGAATCCACCACCCTTGGGTTTTGCTTCCCCAGTTTATGACCATATCCGACACGTGGGCGAATTTTTCCAGAAGTCGGCGAATTTCCTCCATATTCTCATGCGTGGCCTCAGTAATAACGGACAGGTCGTCTGCGAATAGAGAGCAAATCGGGACTGCTTCCGCCGGGATTCGTGCAACCCGAAGCCTCTTGATATGCTTGTTAGCCCGCAGGTTGGCCGATAAGGCTTCCATGATAACAAGGAAAAGGAAGGGTGCAATTGGGTCCCCTTGACGTACGGAGCGTTCCAAGTTAATTGGAGGTGCCAAGGTCCCGTTAATCTGCACTCTTGTGGTTGCATTGCGGTGAAGAATACGGATCCATCTACGGAAGATCGGCCCAAAATTCATTTTTTCCAAACACTTATCAAGAAAGAGGCAATCTACGTGATCGTAAGCCTTTTCGAAATCAATGAAAACCAGGGCCACGTTTTGTTTCGAGTGTCGGGATAGCTGCAGCACTTCGTTTATTAGTAAAATATTTTTGTGAATTTGCCTGTGCTGCATAAATCCTGTCTGTGCTGGATGTATCACTGTCTCCATGACGGGGATCTACCTGTTTGCCAAAGCTTTTGCCAGCATTTTATAGACTACAGTCAGGAGAGTGATTGGCCTGTAATTCCGAATATTGAACACATCCCCTTTTTTATAGAGTAGTGACAACACCCCTTGGCCAACCAACTCCCCCATGTCCCCTGTACGCCCCACCTCCCCGTTGAAGTCCATGAGGTCCGAGCACATGCAACCCCACATTCCTTCCCAGAATTCCTTAGGCAGTCCATCCAGACCGGGGTTTTTCTCCTCTCCCATCTGAGGAGGGCTGTCCAGACTTCCTCCTTGGTCACGGGGGCTTCCAGCAACTCCCTCTGCTGCATGGAAAGAGATTTATCCATTGGTTGGAGAAAATCTGCAATCTGTCGCTGCCTATACTCCTCATCGGCGAGGGGAATGTGGGATGCAAAGAGGTCTTTATAAAAATCGCGGCCGATTTTTAAGCATCCTGCCGTTGTGGTAATTGGGTGTGTGTCCGGGCCCCCCGGGCCATATAGAGCTTCTATGGTCGCTCGCTTAGCTCTAGCTCGGGCCATGCCAAAAAACTTAGGGTCCATTTGTCCCTTTGTGGTAAGAGTCGAGAGTTTCCCATGGATTCGAGCCCCTTGCCAACGGTATTCTGCTTGTTGGAGAAGTTGGGTTTTAAGAGATTGCACGTTTGCACGTATTGAGCTGTATCTTGTGGTGTTGGATGCTGCTCCAACTCTTGAAGTTGATTTAAAAGATCGATCTCTTGCATGTTCCGTTGCTTGGCCAAATGTTTAGAGAATTCATTACACTTTCTTGTCATGAAAAAAATACCATTATTAAACCATGTCACCGGGGAGTCTATTTCAGGACGCCGTTCCTTCCAATATGCCCATGCATGGGACAAATATTGTTGGAAAGTTTTCAGACGCATCAAGGATGTGTTTAGCTTATAGAAGCCCACACCTTGGTCCGGTTTCTTGCGAAAGGTGAGCGCTAGCATGCACATCTTGTGGTCCAGCCCCGGGTAAGGGCTTGACGGGAGGATAGCAGCCAGAGATAGGCTGCCTGTAAGATCCTCCGAAATGAGGATCAAATCAATCCTAGATTTCGAAATCCTCGTAGGGTCAGTGTTCCGGATGCATGTACAAGTGCGGTTGGTTGGAAAGAGCCGGCGGTAGCGGTCGAACAGGGACAAGGAGTCGCAAAGTCTATAGAGCATGTCCTCATCCTCTATCGCCTGTCGCATGGTTGATGTGGGGACCTGCCAACGATCTAGCCATCTGTCAGGAGCAACATTAAAATCACCAGCGAGGATGATGGGGATGCCTTGTGGTATCTTACTTTGGATTTGTTAAAAAAAATCCTCCCGTTCCGCCACCGTGTTGGGCGCGTAAATGCAAAAGATGCATACTACTTCCAATTCCAGTGCCCCAAGGATAGATACCCAGCGCCCCTCAACCTCATCTGCTTCCCAATAAAGCACCTCCAATCTCGAATCCGGGGAGATCCAGATTGCAGTCCCCGCACTTGCCGGTCTCGTCGCATGTGCCCTATAGGCCTGGTATGGCCAAACCGCCTTATGGGCCCTATTATGGTTGGGAGAGTCCAGCAGGTGTGTTTCCTGAACACACACTACATCTGGCCAGTTTCGTCCCTCCACCCCCCTAAGGAGGTCCCTTATGGCCTAAGATTTGCTTGGGCAGAGGGTAGCCAAGCCATTTACGTTAATGGATCTGAGATCCAGGTCTGCGTTGCGGAGGGTGCTGCGCCAAGCTTTGTTTTGGCCATATAAGGCTTGTATCCAATCCATCTTTCAAAAAGCAGTGTGTTTCCTTCCTACTGATAGGATCTACAGATAATGCCAAATAGTTGTCCCATGCCACCCCGTCGTTAATGATATTCTTCCGAATTATGGAACACAGGGCGGTAGTAATTTCTGTATCAGGCCAGATGTGGCTTGGTTTGATTTTGAGTTGGTGCAGCTCCAAGAGAGCGTTATGCGATAGCCATGTGAGTTCTGCATCCTTTTTTCCTTCGAAGAGGATGTAAAGATCATTGTCCGCAATTTTGCAAGAGCCTGATCCCACTCGTATTAAAGCTTTTGCTCCTGCTTCGTAGTGGGATGCAATAAAATCGTTGGCATCTTTCATCCGGAAGCCCCGCTGTCCCTCCCCGTCTTGCTCTAACCTCCTTCCGTGCAAGGTAAGCCCCCCCCTGCAGTAGGAGTAGTCGGATTCCTCCGCTGGTGAGAGGCCCATCTCCCACCGGCCCAGATTCTTTCTTATCGGGATCGCCAGGATTTTCTCTCCTACCGGAAGCGGCCCCTGAAACAGTCCTTTCTCGATCAGGTGTCTCAGTCTTGCCCGCCGGGGAGACTCTGTGGTTTCTCCC